TGTGTCCACCCTGATTGCCTCTGACCCCTCCGTCCACAGATCAGCCAAGTCTTGGGCAATGAAATCAAGTTTACTGTTCGGGAGCCTCTGGGCCTCAGGTGAGCATTTATCTGACTTTTTGTGGGGAGGGGAAAGCTTGAGTGGGGGTGAAATGCCTAAGACCCCACCTGATTTGGCCTGGTCCCTGGATTTTATTTTGTCTCATGACCTCCCCCAAAACTGCCATCCCTGGGCATCCGGGCTGGAGAGGGGAGGGTGCCCTGGGGCAGGGCTGTGAGCTTCTCTCTGCGCCTCTCAGGGTCTGGCAGTTCGTCTCTGCTGTGCTGTTCTCCGGCATTGCGGTCATGGTGAGCCCCCACCCCTATCCCCAGCCCCTGGAATCTGGCCCCCTGTGGCTCCCCCAGCCCTTCTCTGGCTCACCGGAGATTCCTCCTCCAGCCTGGCCCCTCGTGAAGGTTCACGGGCCCATCTGTCGGGCTGTCAGCCTGACTCCTGACACTGCCACACCTGTGCCCTGTCCAGGAGCAAACTAGGTCCCATGGTTTGTGGCCTGACTCCTCGTCCCAGGAACCCTGGAGTTTTCTGAACTGGTATGGGGGTGGATGGGGACAATCAGATCCCGACCCTGGACTGCCCCCGAGGACGCTGATCCTGCTCCGGGGGGAAGGAAGGCGTCCGTGGGAAGCATCAGCTGTCACTCCCCACCCTCTCCCAAGCGGGGTCTCTGAGCCCCTCTTGCTGCCCGCAGGCGCTTGCCTTCCCTGACCAGCTCTATGATGCCGTCTTTGATGGAGCCCAGGTGACCAGCAAGACCCCTATCCGCCTCTATGGGGGTGCCCTCCTCAGTGAGTACTGCTGGGGTGTGCCCTGGGGTGGGGGTGACGGGCAGCTGGGAGACCCAGCGGGGCTGAGGAGAGCACGGAGATCGGTGCCGGGGTACCCCTTCCTTTCTTTGGCCGGATGCTGCAACCCACACCCCAGGCCTTTGGTGACTCTGTCTGCTGGGGGTGTGCTGCCATCTTATGGCCATTAGTGGAATATACCCAGCGAGGTGGAGCTTATCTTTGCCACTGTCTGCAGGGAGAGCTCGTAAATGTGTGCACGGCCCTGGGCGTTGCGGTCCAGAGACGGAGGAGGCCCAGGCGCAGCCCCCTGGGACTTCACAGCCTAGAGGAGAGGCAGATCAATTCAGTGTCTGCAGAACCCCTCGCACCCACCCCATTTTATCCCCAAAGCCACTTCTGTTTGAACCCCGTCTGTTTCCCCTCTAACCCAAGATGCGTGTGTCAGGATTTCAAATTACAGTTTGTAAAGCTCAGCATAGGTAATAGGCCTCCCTTTCTACAAAACATTCTATGGCTCCATATTTCCTACAGAATAAGGGCTCAGCTCCTCTGGAGTTAGGGTTGTTGGAATAAAAAATACACGCCCAGTGACATGTCTGGTACCAGCAGACCCTGGGTGGGTGGGGCCTGCTAGAGGCCAACTCCACGGTTCTTCTGCTAAAAAGTATGGCTCATCCCCCACCCCCTGGGGAGTCCCTTACAGTGACTCCTTAATGGGCTCAGGTTTTCTTCCTGGGAGTCTATGTGGAAAGAAGACCCGGTCATAGGCCCAGGTAACCCATTAGCTCACAGATTCCGTCAACACGGCATCCTCCTGGCAGACCCCGACATGGGCAAGGACCAGGAGCTCAGTGTTCCCACTGGATAAAGAGAACGTGTCTCCACGTGGGGAAGTGATTTGCCCAGTGTTGAACAGGGCCTTGGAATGACAGGAGCAGGCTGAAGCAGCAGCATTGAGTCTGGAGGGGACAGGATGGGGGGCAGAGAGCTTTGCTTTGAGGAGTGTGAGTAGGGGCGGGCACACGGCATCCAGGACCCTGGCTGTCTTGCAGTGGTGGCCAAAAGAGGGAGGAGCAGACCTCCTGCTCTGCTGGGAGGGAGTCGGCCATCCCACCCGCAGCCCCCTCTTCTTCCCCGCCCCAGGCATCTCCCTGATCATGTGGAACGCTCTCTACACGGCTGAGAAGGTCATCATTCGATGGACGCTGCTCACCGAAGCCTGCTACTTCGGGGTCCAGTTCTTGGGTGAGTCCTGAGGTGGGCAGTGAGGGAGGCATCCTCCTTTTTGAGGCTGTTGAGCAGCTTCGCCCCTGACCTGCCTGCTCTAGCCACTCGGGTGTGTGTGGGGGGTGATGAAAACCTGTCTGTGGGGGCTGGGGAGCGGATAGAGGGATAAGGGCTCACCTGGCCATGTGTACCTCTGTGCCTGCACACCTGTGCACGCACACCTAACACACGTGCCTGTGGCTTCCCAAATCTACACACTGGTATCTGTGGCCTTGCACACACGTCCACCTGCAGCCCCGCCATGTGCTGCCCACTGTATCCATCACCTGTGTAATAACATGAGCTCCATCCTCCTCACCTGCTGTGCCCCAGTTCCTGCCACATGGGAGACATCAAATCAGAAACATCTGTGGGGTTGGCAGGGACAGGGGGCAGGTGCTCCCCACCCGGGAGAACCCTGGGCTCAAAGTCAGGGAGACGGCCACACCAGGGCTCTGAGCTGGGGGGCAGTGCCAGGACTCATCCCCTTCTCTGACCCTGCCGCCTCGCCGGCCTGTTTCCCACAGTGGTCACTGCCACGCTAGCCGAGACGGGCCTCATGTCCCTGGGGACCCTGCTGCTCCTGGTCAGCCGCCTCCTTTTTGTCGCCATCAGCATTTACTACTATTACCAAGTCGGCCGAAGACCCAAGAAGGCTTAGCCGCCTGCTGGGCCTAGGGCCCTGCCCATGCCTGGAGCAGTGTGGCGCTGGGGCCTCAGCTTCCCTTTGGCTCCTGGAAGGCAGGAGGATCCCCTGCCCTGCCCCAGCCCTGCCCCAATGAAGCAGGGGGTGGGGGGGCCTTCCTTTCCTCCTGAGCTCCCCATACGCTGTGATCTCCTGGGCTTTCAGGCTTGACATGCTGGTTTGGGGAGAGACAGGGGCTCTGCTGCCCTATTCACCCTCACAGTGACATCTGCTTTCCTTGGAGGCCTCCAGATCCCCTCAGTAGACACTAAAGTCAAGCTGGAGTCATGAGGGTAGTGGGCTAAGTCGAGGGTCCAGCCTCCTCTGCCAGGAAGCCCTTCTTGCTTTTGAGAGAGGCTGTGACCACACCCCACCTTTCTCCCTCCACCCCCAGCCAACCTAGCGTCCAAACAGCTGGACTTGCTTCCCTGTAATCCTAGAAAACCTGAGAACTTACCCCTCCTCCTCAATCTGGCCCTCTCCACGTGCACACCCGGAACACACACACAGACACACATACACCCATGATGTGAGCAAGCACACACACACCACGCAAACGCACACACTCGTCTGCATAGCCCAGCTGAGAGCGCACAGGCAGGGTGTGCTGCCTGAGACGGCACCTCCCTTGCAGCGGTTCTTCAAGGATGGGCCACACCCAGCCAGAAGCCCTGTCCCCACTCTCCTGGGACCTGGCTCTGGGGCACTCTGCCTCTACCCCAGGACTCCGGAATCCCCTGGGAACCCCCTCCCTGCAACCAGCCTGAGTTCAGAGGCAACCAGCAGCCACACCCACAGGCCCCATGGACAAAGGGACACACAACCCCCCACGGAGGCCATTGTAAGTGGCAGGGCTGGGAGAGGAACAGAATGAAAGTTACAGGGCTCCCTCGTCCCCCAAAGCCTGATGGCCACTGGGCTCAGCCTGTCCCCCACTCTTCCCTGCTTCCCGGAAGCTGCCCTCTGCACCTGCAGCCCAGGCTGCCCCCAAGGTCTGGCTGAGTGGGACTGGGTGGCCCCCAAGTTGGGCACGGGAAGTAAGTGGAAACATTTCCGCAGGCCGCCTCCCCTCACCTCCACAGCCCTGTCCAATGCCCTGGCGAAGGCCGACAACTGGCCGTCTTGGAGCTGAACGCCCCCTCAGCCTGTGCTGTATATCCCGTTAGTCCCTATCCCAGCCTCTCCCTCCTGCCAGCACGTGGGCACACACCGGAAGTGGCGAGCCCAAGTCCTGGGGACAGGTGTGAGAGAGGCAGCCACGACCCCAGCCTCACTTCCCATCTTGGCGCAGAGTGGGGGTGGCTGGAACGTGTCCACAGGTACAGGCGGCCCTGGGTGCTGCCAGGTGGGCCCCTGCCTGGGGTCCTCACCCTGTCCACCTTCTGCCTGGCTGTCCCTGCACCCAGATGGCCTGTACCCAGCAGAGCGGTGGCACCACCATGGTTACAGTGGATGCCCTGAGGCTGCTTGGTAAACATGGCCGAGCCGAGTGGGAAGCTGGACGCTGGGGAAGGGCCCCCTTCTGGCATCTGTCTCTTGCTGCCTAAGCCTGTGCCTCTCCCTAAGGAGCTGCCTCCCTGCTGCTGAGCCCTGGTTTGGCCGCGAGTCACTGCTGCCTCCCGCAGGCTGTGGTGCCAGCGGGCAGTGCCCTCAGGCCGAAGCCTCCATCCCCCATCTGAACCAGGCCTTTTGAGGTCCAGCTGATCCTCTCAAAGCGACGGTTGGTTTGCCCTCCCATAACCGCAGGTGGATTCCACACCTGCGGCTCTGAGACATCCAGTCTTCCACACTCGACGGTGGGATGGGAGGTGGGTGGCCTTACCCCATGGGGCTGGCCAGGCTCTGCACAGCCCTGTGCTCACGAAATACCGGGAGGCTCGGTTAAACCTAACTGTAGTGGGGCCTGGGGGTGGGGCGAGGGAGGGGGCTGCAGCTGGGATAAGACCTGGAAGACAGACATACAGCCTGCCGGGCAGGGGGCTCTAAGGCAAGGAGGATTTGCAGTCGGGCAGGAGGCAACGGCGGAGGGCGAGGGACGGAGGGGCCCTGAAGTCCAGCGAGGAAGGCCCGGTGTGGGCCCCGCTCTCTGCTCCGTTCGGGGTGACCTGGAATGCCTCTTCTCTCAGCTCCCTCCGGCCATCAGCAGCCTCTGGCCAAGCTTCTGCCTTGCCCCAGTCTACCCCCACCCCCAAATCAAGACCACCTTTCACGGTCACTATTTATTCTTTGTTCCTTTTTCTTTTTGTAAGAAACAGTCACAAAAACCAGTGCAAAACCATCCGTGTGGGCGTCCTGTTTTATATTACAAAACTTCCTCTGGATAGAGCATATAAAAGGGGGCTCACAGGAGAGAAACACGATAAATTAGCTCTGCAATCTACCGCAAGGAACATAGACAGCTTTTAAAATAGACTTTCAACATATGACCCATGGGGGAAGGGAGAAGGGGGCTTCCAGGGAGACGGGGATCTGGGGCCTCGGCCGGTTTGGGGAATCCTGTCTGGGCCCCTTACTCATGGATAGACAGATGGACAAGGGAGGCTGAGGAAAGGCCTGAGCACCAAGACTAGAAATTAACAGGGACCCTGGGGAGGGGCCCTCACCCCCAGCCCTTTCTCCAAAAGGGAAAGAGATCTTTCCTTTCTCCAAAAGCCAGTAGCTTCGGAGCACGAAAGTGGCTTTCAATACAGGGCAGCGTGTGTGATGAGTGGTCTGTCTTGTTCCTTGCCCTGTTAGTGGGGTCCGAGGAAGTCTCCACTGTGTGCTGTCGTATTCTGGGTGAAAAGAGACGAAGAGGCATCCCTGCCACTCTTCCCCCACCCCCAGCCACCACCAGAACCTGCTGTGGGTTGTGTCTGGACCAAGCCAGCTGAACCCTGGGCCTCCCCGAGCTCTGGAGGGAGGCTCAAGCCTGATTTGCACTGAGCTTTCTTTGCCTTGCCTCCAAGGAACGGCCTCAGGCAGCCTTGCAAATAGCTACCAGCCTGAGCGATGCCAGCAGAAGCAGAAACTGCCTGTCTTCCCTTCCCAGGCCAAGAGGGTGGCCAGCGGCTGGCAGGGAGCTAAATCTGGGCTGATTGAGGGTTCCTTGGCACATTTGTGGGAAGCTGTCGAGGAGCAGTCTTGTGTCTGCCCATGAACCCATCTTAGCCAGATTTCCCTCCATGACAGGCCCATTCTCCTGGGTCCTCCCTCTGGCTTGTATGGGCCCCAGAAGCCTGGGATGTCCCTGGATTACAGCCATAAAACTGTGCCATTTACCTTTTTCGGGAAGCTGGGGCTAAGTGTGTGGGTGCTTCAAGAGAAGCAGGCGCCAGGCCCTTCCCAGCTGGCCCACAGTACCACTGGCAGGTCCCCCTGGGTCTTGGGAGCTTAGCTTCTGTGGAGCTCAGGTATTGTGTTTATGGGGTCGCCAGAGCAAGCTGTAAAAGGGACGATTTGGGAAGTCTCTGAGCTCAGAGACCTGGTGGGAGGGCTGGCACTGGTGAGCATAGCAGGAGATGGAAGGACAGTCCCCCTGAATCTTTGCAGCAGGCACAGAGCTTCTGGCTGCATCTCAAAAGGTGCCCGCTGGTACAGGCTGGGGAATACTGGGCTCTAGGCTGTGGCTGTGTGTGTCCCCGGTGGCTGGAAAGCCCAAGGGGAGGCTGGAAACTGGTAAAGGGTACTGGTGGCCTGTGAGACAGAGTGAGCTCTTCCTGAAGAGGGACAGAGGAGAGAGAAGAGAGCAGACCTCACACTGCTCCTTTTATCCCTGCCCATAGCAGACATCCCTCATCAAACTTACAGTGCCTGGCAGATATCACTCATCAGGATTGTACCGCCGTCTCCCACCGAGCCCAGACCAAGCCTCGGATGCCAGCACAGCCTCCAGCAGCCACCCCTGATCTATCAGGATAGGGGCATCTTGCAATCCAGGTGCCAACATTTATCTAGAATTTGTGGCCTGAATACTTGTGGGTGTGCATCTGTGAGTCTCCCTGCCCAAGCCTGGAGGAAATACTAAGAAATGTGTGGACAGTGAAGAGACAGGAAGCCTTGTTGCAGAAGTGGCCTCGATGCCTTTAGCCTGGAGAGAAGAGGGCTCAGGGGAGTCGATGTGTGAACTTAACACTCCAGGAAGGAGAGCAGGCAAGCGGGATGCCGTGGCTGGAGCCACAGAAAAACCGAAATCTCTTCTGTATGTTAAGCTGATGCTCAAGTCAGAGCAGTCCGAAGGCAGGAGGCTGCCTTGGGAGGTAGGAAGCTCTGTCCTAGAGGTATGCGGAGGGCTGGAGAAGTCTTGGCCAGGATCTTGAAGAAGGATCTCCAAGCCTCAGTTCTGGATGGGGAGAGGGAGACCCAGATGACCTTGAGGATTTCTTCCACTCTGGGAGCTGGGGAGCTGGGGAAGGGCAGGGAAGGGGGTGGCCTTCCTTGTGGAGAGAGGTGGGCAGTTTGGACAAGGGGGTGTGATGTGCACCCTTGCGTGTATTTCTGGGGACTCAGAGCTGTGGGGGGGTGGGAGGGAGGGTGCGGTGGGAAGTCAAGGAAAGGAGTTTTCTTAGCTGTAGAGAAGGGAAGAGGCCGTTCCTGGCCAGCTTGCCCTCTCTTGTCTGGGGGAACCGGGATGCTGAGGCCAGGCGTGCATGTGAACAGAACTGACAGTCCTGGATGCCGTGACGGCGGCCTGGAGACAACTCAGCTGCTTTTCACAACCGTCACACGCCTGTGCTGTGTCCGTGGATGGGCCACTGCCCCTCTCTGGGCCTTTGAGATTATTTGGTCCAACAGAAGGGGAAAGCAGGCATCCTGCCAGCTGGGCCATTCTTGAATGCTGTGTCCGCAGCTCCCTCTTGGCCTTGGCCTCAAGCGGGGACAATCCATGGCAGCTGAGTCTCCGTGGGGCCCCCTGGACTTTATGACTTCTCGGAGATAGGCTTTTGCCTCCTTCCTTCCTCCTAAATCCTCACTTCCTTGGCATCAGGTCCTGGAGCAGTGAGGAGGGAGGGGCCGGGGTCTGGCTGGACCAAGGAGGGCACATGGCTGGTGTCCCTTTGCTCTCCAGAGCAGCCTCCATCCTGGGCCAGGCGCTGGGGTCTCTGCGGAGAGTCCACAGCACCTACCCCGACCCCAGGCGAGGATACCTCAGTCCGTATTTTTGTATTCATTTTGTTTTGTTAAAAAAATAGCTTTATTCCGCTGGCCCCTTCTCCTGACCATCTGTGATGGCCTCATCTTCTCCTCTGGGGCCAAGAAGACAGCAGAGAGGGGCAGGGGAGGGCATCGGGTGCTGGGCAGTGGTGGGCAGGGTGAGTCTTCAGGCTTCAGGCCACACCCTCTACTGGATGCCCCGGAAGAGGCACATGGCAAAGATCATGGCGAAAAGCTGCAAAAAAAAAAAAAAAAAAAAAAGCAGGAATTGGCTTATCAGGCTGGGCCCTTTGTGGGCTGCCAGGCCCACTCCAGGGGAAGGGGCCTTCTGCCTCAGGGACAGAGTGAATGCCTGTGACTCTTAGCATACGCCTCCTCTAAGGATTCCCCTGGGGCCAGTCCTTCTCACCAGCCCCTAACTGGCTTCCTTTATGTGGTGGAGTCACGGACCAGGAGGACTTTAGAAACTGAGTCTTGAGTTCAAATCCAGCTCCCTGGCTTACAGGGGTGACCTTAGGCAAAGCACTTCCCTTCTCTGGGCCCGAGTATGTATCGAGAGTTGGCCACGTCCCAGGCACGGTTTTAAGTGCTTTCTTGGGAGGTACATGACCTACCTGAGGTCACACAGACACCAGCAAGGGAGCTGGGGTTTGAGTCCAGGCATTCTGACCCTAGAGCCCGTGCTCACAACCCCTGCAGGCTCGCCTCCAGCTCATAGGAAGGTGGTGAGATTTAAGTGTCATGCAATTGCTTAATGATGTAATGTGCCTGTTACGTAGTAGATGCTCAGAGAAAGGTTACCAGGGCTGCTATGAATAGGCAGGCAGCCGCAGCCCTTCCTGGAGTTCTGTGCTCCATCCCTGAATGCCTGTGTGAGGGCCCTGGGGTGGTGGGGCAGGGAGACCCTAGCTCAGGGACTCTGACCAAATTTGCGGATGTCCCTACAGCCCAAGCTCTTTTTGCAAGTAGCTGAGGGAACAGTCCCTAGACCACAGGTCATGGCCACATCACCAGGAGGCTCACTGGGGTGGGGAGGGACGGCCAGGACGGGACCCCGTAAAGGGTCTGTCTTGAACCAGATTCTGCCTCCCATGGGGCTGGCCAGCTGGGCTCGTAGGCTGGGCTGGAAGTGAGGCAGCGGATCAAGTATATGAATGCTGCTTCCCAAGCCCCAACGGTACGCCGTCCCCGCCATCTGTAATCCCTCTGTGCCCTGGCAGCAGGGTGACCAGCCCATTTTGCAGATGAAGAAACTGTGGCTCAGACATCCCGCCTCTGGAGAGGCAGAGCTGGGAGCTGGACTCTAGGGCCTGTGCTCTTCTGTCCCTGCCTCTAGGGCCTCTGTCCCTGCATGGGACACATTCCTGAGAGTTCCCTGGGGCTTGGTGCAGATTTATCTCGTTCATTGTTGCCTCCCATGAGGGGACTTGTTCACCTGTTAACAGTGCTGGCACGGAGTAGGGCTCAATGCATGCTTGTTGAATACATGCATGAATAATAAACGGCCCCTCCCCTCTGCCATCGCCAGTAGCCTCTCCAAAGCTGCAGGCACAGTTGGAAAGCCGGCAAGGCGAAGTTCATGGTGCCAGGTGCCCAGGCTGCCGGAGGGGGAAGCTGAGGATTGGACTGCCTGACTTCCTTCCCCCGCAGGCCGAGGGCTGGCTGAGACCCCAGAGTGCCTCTTCCTGCCGTTGGTCAGGTGTGGGAAACCCTCTGTCCAGCCCCCTGGAGCCGCAGGTCTGAGATCCCGAAGGAGGAGATCCCAGAGGTTGGAGACCGGAGGCGGCTGCTCCTCCCTTTGGCTGAGGCGCCACCTAGTGGTGTTTGCAAAGGGTCTGCAGGAGCTCACCTTTCGAGGGGACTCTGGCGCCCTCAGGTAAAGGAGGCTAAGACCACCATTGTGGATGAATAAAACCCCATAGGCCCTGAACACCCCACAGAGAAAAGGCCTGATCTCGAACCACAGGCTGCAGCCTGTCCTTCAAGGCAGTTGGGCAGATCCCTCTGCAAGCATGGAATTTCTCTGGACCATGGAGCTGGGGCGGAGGTGGAGACAGGGGTGGGGAGTGGGAGGGAGTGGGGATGACCCTCAGGGCCTGCCCATCCTCACTTCTGGGGCACTGGCTCCCAGGTTTCATCTCCAGAGTTCAAGAATGACTCTCAGGCAGCAGAGACACAGCTGGGCTTACCACCCCATAGCGCCCACTGGGAGGGAGCCCTTGGGTCTCAGGTGAAGGAAATGGAGAGGGGGGTGCTGGGGGCGCAGGCCATGGGGATCTGCCTGGGCTCCATGTCAGGCTTTGTCCTGGGGAGCGGCAGAAGTGGGGCCTTTACTTACCTCGATGGCCAGTACTCCGATGGCAAGCGCTCCGGCCAGGTAGACGTACGTTTCGAAGGTGTTGAGGATCACCGTGTAACAGCCCTGGGAGGGAGGGACAGGAGGTGAGGCTGTGGCCAGTGAGGAGAGTCCTGCCGTCAGAGTCCAGCATGTGGATAGGGTTCCTGGCAGGTGGCCCCAGAGCTCTTACCCTATCACGTGGCTGCTGGGACCGAACAGTGGGGAGGGGGTGCAGGGCAGGAAACCCAGAAATAGCAACTTGGCAGCGCTGTACCAAAGACTCTCCTTGCCATCCGGCCCCTAAGGGGGGCAGAGACCTGCCAGGGTGTGGGCCTTGCCTTATGTCACTACTACAGTGATTGGGAAATTTCCCATAAATATCTGGACTTCCTGCTGCTCTGGGGAAATCAGAAGAACCAGCAAAGGGACCATCCTTTTCACATCAGCATATCAGCAGCTGCTGCCTTCAGATGCAGCAGGTGCTCCCTGGGGGTCTAACCCCCCCATTCCCTGTTGTCCCACCCTACCCCCTCTACTGTTCCTGGCTGCAGAAGGAGTTCCAGTCTTCAGCCACTTCCCCAAGGAAACACAACCCAGCCTTCAAAATCCTGCTTGCATGCTACCTCCTTTGGGCAGCTTTCTGGGACCAGCCCAGCGCACAGGCCCTGGACCTAATTCCCATACTCTTACTGCTTTCTTAAGTAATCCCGGAGATATATAAACTGAGACAGAGACAGAGATCGAGATAAACAGAGTGGCGTGGGGATTGGGGAGACGGAGAAAAAGCAAGCCAGTGCCAAGCCAGGAGCTGCCAGTCCGTGGCTGCTGCCCCATCTGATCCTGAGCAGCTCAACACCTCTGTCATCTTGATATTCATCACTCTCCCCTCTCCCAAGCTGACCGCAGACACTGGTGCATGGTACTTGCTTTGAATGACACATATTCTCGAAGTGGGAGAACTTTCCTTTCTTTAACAAATGTGCAAGGGAACAAGTCCCCAGGTGGGGGTGGATTGATCACGCCTAGCCCTTCTTGGGTGGCGGTTGCTATTTCTGGCCTCTGTTAAGACCAGGATTCTTGGGTGCTCAATTCTGTTGTCCATCACGCAGAAGCTCAGCCCCTTTGGCCAAAAGTTGCTCTGAGGCTGCGCCCAGGCAGGTGGACAGCGGGGCCTGATCTGGGATGTGTGGCCTGGTAGTATCCTAGCACCTGCCTGGAAGCTGACCAGGAGCTGGGCAGGGAAGGCCCCCAAAAGCCCTTTCTGGAGCCCCATGGGGCAAACTGGATATACCCAGATAGAAACAGACCCCAGCAGCACAATGATCTGGGTCCACAACCCTCTCAGGGGTGAGTGTGCTTGGAATAACCTGGGAACTAGTTAGCAATGCAGATACCAAGGCCTCGCCCCACAACACTGGATCAGTGAGTACGGCTTGGAGCCCAGGATTCAGCATGATGGGACAACACCCAAGGTAATTTCTAGTGACCAGGCTGTGGCCAGGGTTTGAAAGACCTCAAGCCCAGAGATGCCAACCGGGAGAAAAGGTCTTCATTGAATATTCCGGCCTTGTCTCTGCTGTGGCACTGGGAGTCCAGTTAAGGGCTGTGTGACTGGGACGGAGCCCTAGGAGCGGCTCAGGGGTCCCTACCCCAGGCCAGATCAGGACATCAGAGTGGCTGGGGGTCCCTTCAGGGCTGGCCCATCCACTCTATGAGGCCCAAGGGCTATCCGGGATCTGCCAGCAAACCCATGTTGGAGCCTCAAATCTTTTGTTAAGCGATTTTGAAGCATCAGAACCCTCAAATGCAGAACTGTAATGCAAAAAAGCTAACCCGCTCTGCAGGGAGGGAGAGACGAGCTGCAGCGTTGCATGGTTTTGGAATCAGCCCTGGGAGGGGCCGCCTCCAGCCTCCCATCACCCCCTCCATGTCCGGCGTGCCCGCCAGCCACAGGCGCATCATCCCACCTCCCGCAGCCCCAGCACACCCCTGGGCTTGTGAAGCTTTTCCAGAGGTTGCCGGGACAGGAAGCAGCAACGGCCCAGGAGACTGGGGTCTGGCAATGGTTCCAGGTGGGCCCTGGCACCCGGCTGCCTGGGGTCCCGGCCGGCCCTGCCACTTGCTTGCTGTGCGACCTTGGGCTATTTACTTCCTTTCTCTATGCCTCAGTTGCCCCATCCATACAGTGGGGCCAGGTAGATTAATTACCTCATGGGACTGCTGTGAGCATAAAATGAGATACCGCAGGTAAGGCACTGGGAGGAGCAGCGGCAGGCAGCGAGCTCTCAATCTCAACCCGTTAGGATTACCAAGGAGAACCAGCCGCCCCTCTGTGCTGCTCTCGAAGCATATCCTGAGTGGTGCAAAGTGTCCAAGCATAGAGTTGGGTGTCATTGCAAGACAATCACACACACACACACACGGGACAGGAGAAGCAGCAAACCCTTCCCGAGCATGAAATTGACTTTGACATGCCTCAGCTGGGGAAGTTGGCAAGCAGCTGGGGGCCTTGTCCAGCAGAGGGAAGCCGAGCCCTGCTGCGTGACACCTGGGCCTTGACAGCTCATCTTCCCCAATCAGGCTTTGGTACCAACGACCCTTCAGGCCCCTGGACTCAACCAGGCAGCCCAGGTTGGCCAAGGGAAGCTTCCCAGGAACACAGACACGCTTGGGGAGTTGGGGCGTGGAGGGGGCGACACCACCCGAGCTGAGCAAGTGTCCGTTCACTTGAGAACTTTGCTAGGGCCTCATGGGCTCTTTCTCACTTGATCCTCATTACAGCCCCTCGGGGAGGAGGGGTCTTACCTGCTTTCTACCCATGAGAAAAGGGAGGGAGGAGCAGTGGCTAACTAGCTCAAGATCACATATGAGGAGGGGAAGCCAGGGGAAGAAGGCGGATTCCAAGTTCCCACCCTTTCCTCTGTTCTAAAGGGAAGGGGGCTGGCATGAGCAGCTGGGTACTCCCTCCTATGGGCCAGGCCGCTGGCTGGAGCCTGAGCTTACATCTACACACCTGGAGATCGCTCACTGTCGCTCGTCACCTCCCTGCCACGATGCTCTCCCGCCACCACCAGGTGAGATACATGGCAAGGAGTCTCTCTCCCCAGCCTGGCACCACAGAATGTCAGTCCTCCAACCATGTGGGCTGTTTCCAGAGCCGCCCTCCCTCTCTGCCAGGTGGGCACATCCCCTGCCCCCAGCTGCCACCCACAGTCACCACCACCCCCACCGAACCTGATGAGGGGCAGACAGGCCCGGCTGCCACCATCATGGTCACTCACATGCAATGCTTCCCACATGTGTATCTCCAGCACCGCCCCCCTCCAGCTCCATCCCATACATCCAACTGCCCACTGGGAACCTCTGCTTGGCTGTTCCAAAGGCTTCTCTTTTTATGAGATGGAGACTCACTTTGTCACCCAGGCTGAAGTGCAGTGGAATGATCTCAGCTTACCTCTGCCTCCTGGGTTCAAGTGATTCTCCTGCCTCAGCCTCCCAAGTAGCTGGGATAACAGGCACATGCCACTATGCCAGGCTGATTTTTGTATTTTTAGTACAGAAGGGGTTTCTCCATGTTGGCTGGGCTGGTCTCGAACTCCTGACCTCAGGTGATCCACCAGCCTCAGCCTCCCGGAGTGCTGGGATAAGACATGAACCACTCTGCCTGGCCTCCAAAGGCTTCTTCCACTCAACATACCCTAGACTGAATGCAAGATCTTCCCCAAACCAGAAACCAGTCATCCTCAGCATCACCTCCTACCCGCTCCTCCAAAGGGGATCCATCAGGAAGGCTCGTAGATTCTGCCTCCTGAACATTTCTCAGATGCACACAACTCTCTGTCTTCACCGCTATCACCCTGGTCTCACCTGCTGCCCTTTCTCACTGAGACCAGCGTAAAAGCCCCCTGTCCACCCAGGTCCACTGCCAATCCCTAGGGAGCAGCTAGGGTGACCCTATGGCCACGCCATGCATCCCTGCACACCTCACCCCTACTCCAATCCCCACAGTGAACTTACTCTTCCTACGTCCTTGCCACAGGCCTGCCAGCGAAGTCAGAAATGCATTCTGGGGCCGGGCGCGGTGGCTCACGCCTGTAACCTCAGCACTTTGTGAAGCCGAGGTGGGTGGATCTCTTGAGGTCAGGAGTTTGAGACCAGCCTGGCCAACATGGTGAAACCCCGTCTCTACTAAAAATATAAAAATTAGCTGGGCGTGGTGGCCACACGCCTGTACTGCCAGCTACTTGGGAGGCTGAGGTGGGAGAAACGCTTGAACCCAAGAGGTGGAGGCTGCAGTGAGCTGGGATTGTGCCACTGCACTCCAGCCTGAGCGGCAGAGCGAGACTCCATCTCAAAAAAGAAAAAAATGCATCCCATGGTTTGGAGACAAAGACAAATAGAGGCAGTCCTGCAGCAGCAGGTTTTTAACGGGAAGAAATGCCCAGGAGGGACATGAATGTCTCAGCAAAGGAACCCCAGGAGTCAATCTCAGAAGATCCTCAGGAACAGCAGAGTCATTGGCAGGAACAAATGTGGCTGTGCCGGGACCTCTCTGATGAGCTCCGGTTTTGAAGACTGCCCAGGAGAGGAAAGGAGGCGTCCCAAGAGAGGATGAGTCCAGAAATGAGAAACCTATCTGTTGCAGAGCATGGGGCCCATGGGAAGCCTCCTGAAACTTACAAGCCGCCTTAGAAGGCTCTAAATTTGGCTGTTGGCAACAGGCCTCCCAAACAACAGCTCCTTCATCAAGTTCGAAATTCATTTGTCTTTCACATAAAAGCCCGCACTATGGTGGCTGCTCTGCGCCGTAGAACTGTCACGGCCCCGGCTCCTCTCTGCACGCGCTGCCATCCTAGAGGCTACCTCCCTCTGCCAGGTCCCAGCCCGGGAAACAGGGAGGGGTGGGCACAGCACCCTCTCTTAAGGATGAGACTCAAGTTGCACAAAGCACCCCTGCTCGCCTCCCACTGGCCAGAACTGGGTCACGTGGTCTAGCTGCAAGGCATGCTGGGAAGCGCAGCCTCTACTTGGTGGCCATGGGGTGTGATAAACGTTTTCTTCCCAAGGGAGTAGGGGTGAATGGAGTGTGGAGTGGCAGCCAGCGGTCGCTGCCAACGTATGGAATCTGAGGTCCAGAGAGGGTGTCTTGGCGAAGGCACCGCAACAGGTAACAGCCTCCCCGCATTGAAGCCTGGAACTCACCTCCCTACCCTGCAGCTGCTCCCCGGCAGGTCTCTGTGGACCGAGCCCCTGGGGAAACCCTCTCTGCCCCAAGTCCACAGTGGCCTTGACTCAGGGCCCTCATTTCTCTATTTGAGTCTCTTTCCCCCAATGCAGGAAGGCAGGATGATGACAGACAGAGAGAATGTGGTCCTCAGGGCCTCATGAATCCTCATGAATCCATGGGCAGGTGCCAGGGCCAGAGGGGCCGAGCTCCTGGGGCAGAGCTGAGGCTGGAAAGGGCCCACCAGAGCCCCAGGACCCAGGCCTCTGCTGACTGTCACCTCCTCTGGAACTCTGCAAGGCCTGTCTTGAGCCCCCGCCCCAGGCGTGTTCTAGCCCCCGTCTGGTTTTATTTCTTCGCAGCATCATGACCATGTGACATGATGACTTCTCGTTTGTTTGCAGCTTGTTCATCTTCTGCTTCCTCTAACGAGATCGTGAGCCTCACAGGAACAGGGGCCATGTCTCCTGTCCCCTGCTGTGTCTCTTGCACCTGGAACTCTCCATGAGACTCTCGTTAAAGTCCTAAGGGGCCCAGAGTCCAGGCTTAGATCAACCTTGACGTCTCCCTCCCTCTCCTCCTGCCTAGCCTGGTCACACACCCACACTGGCAGGGTGGGGGCTGGTCAGTTGGAAGAAGGGGATTAAGAGCAAGGGCATTGGCCGGGCGCAGTGGCTCACACCTGTAATCCCAGCACTTTGGGAGGCCGAGGCAGGTGGATCACCCGAGGTTGGGAGTTCAAGACCAGTCTAACATGGTGAAACCCCATCTCTATTAAAAAATATATATAAAAATGAGCCAGGCATGGTGGCACTCCCAGCTACTCAGGAGGTTGAGGCAGGAGAATCACTTGAACCCGGGAGGCGGAGGTTGCAGTGAGCCAAGATCACGCCATTGCACTCCAGCCTGGGCAACCAGAGCAAAAATTTGTCTCAGAAAAAAAAAAAAAAAAAAGAGCAAAGGCATTGTGAACTCATGGCGGGGTGGGGGGAGGGGAGGGGCAGGAGGCACCCAAAGCCAGGCCCTTGTTCTCCCTAGAAATGGCACGTGCAGGAAGGAAAAGGATTTCTTCCAGGGCTGAGATGAAGTCCTCAGATTGCAAGAGAAGCAGAAAAGTCTAGGCGCTTCTCTGACCTTGGAGAGTCAGGTCAAGGAGGCCTTTCTTCCTTAGGGTTCCTTAGGGCAAGCCCACATGGCAAATGAGAGCTTCCTCCAAAATACAGTGCATGGCTGAGAAGGACCCCCCACTGTGTAATTCTGGTGCTGCCCCCTCCCTCCCTTTGGATCTGCATTATCAGAAACTCAGGAAACACTGGAAAACTCCTACTTAACCCTTAGCCCCAGCCCAAATGCCCACTCCAGCTGCAGACCATCTCCCACTGTCATCCTTCACCACTTTGGTTGGATCTCAGGGGCTTGGACAGAGCTTCCATCAGCCCCTGAACAGATGCAGGCATCCCATATCATGGCCAACACTTCCCTGGGATTCCTGGGGTAGCTTCAGACCCCCTGGGGTGACATCACCTCCCACCCAGCTCTGGCCACCCAAGTCTCCATACCCGCTCCCCTGCCTGGAGAGCAGGGCCAGTACCTGCTTATTTAGGAACAGGCTCCTTCCCAGGAGACACTCCTCCCGGCTCAGCAGGACCCCGTCCCGACTCTGGGGTTCCCTCCGGCAGCAGGCCTCCGGCACCTCTTCACTGTCCAGGGTCAGGAGTCGAAACACAGATGCATACTTAAAGTCTTCAGGCCCGTTGACCCCACAGCAACCGAACTAGGGGGAGATCCCAGAGAAGGGTCTGGTGAGCAGGCGCCGAAAACGGGCGCAGGGAAGAGAAGGACAGACAGCCTCTGCAAAGGAGTGGCATCAGAAGGCTGGGTGTGGGCTGGCTCCACCTGTCGCCGCTGTGTGACCATGAGAAAGACATTCGGCTTCTCTGAGCCTTCAGTGCCCTCAGCTCTATAACAGGGGTGGTAGGAACACCGGGCACTCAGCTCTCCATAAACAGGTGCTGTGGTTATGATCATCATGATAATGACCACTGCTTGGGGTCCCAAAACAGGGACAGCAAATAGGTTTCATCCCGAGTATGGACTGTGATCCAGTGGCATGGCTGCCTGGAATGCTGTGTGGATGCAGATTCCAAGGCCAAGTCTGTGATCGATGGGACAGTGCCTGGATTGATTACTGATGCCTGGTGTGGCCATGTGAACACTGGGCACCATGGCTCTGAATGCTCACAGCATCTCTGGGGGGCCACTCACTGTGATCATGACCGAGTTCCAGGTGGCGGAGAAGACATCGGTGTCGTTATTGCCCTGGTAGTGTTTGGTGAGCTCCTTGGTGAAGAATTCTCGGGTGAGCTGGGGGCAGAGGGAGAAGATGGGCTGGGGCCTGGCCGTTGGGTGCAGCCCCACCCTCCCTCGTCTCTCCATCCACATGCTTGGGAGTTGGGGTAATGAGAGCTAGGGGCTCCACATCCCAGTGCCAGGCCCCCTGGGATTCCCCTAAACCACCAACTTGGGGCAGGCTCCTTACCCTTAATGTAGAAAGGAGAGCTATATACACATACATCTCCTCAGAGCCAAGGTCAGGGCACGCTGAGGCCCAGCTGTGCCCAGAGGAAGGGCTTATCTGGATGGGGAGTTTGCCTCTCACCCCACCCCTTCCACCCTGAGCTGCTCCCCAGACAGAGCCAAGCGGACGTCCTGGATCCCAGGCCCTGAAGAAGCTATGGGACCAGGTAGGAAGGCTTTGTATATCAGTTTCCAGAGGAGGCCTCCTAAGTTTCTTTTACTCTCAAAATATTCTGCTAAGGTCTAACTACCCTCCCTCCTGCTGCAGGGAGAGGCTAGGGCCCTGGGTGGTGCCAGCAGAGACCATCTGGGCACCATTCTCTGCCCACAGGCTGTGGTGGCCTCCTCCTCTGCTCTGTGCCAAATCGTCCCCCTCCACCCCCACCACCTCCACCCCAGGGCCATCTTGTGTCTCCTGCCCAGTGCCCCTCCTCCCTCCCCTCTTCCCCCTCCCCCTGCCCCACTGCCCCTCCTCCCTCCCCTCTTCCCCCTCCCCCTGCCCCACTGCCCCTCCTCCCTCCCCTCTTCCCCCTCCCCCTGCCCCACTGCCCCTCCTCCCTCCCCTCTTCCCCCTCCCCCTGCCCCACTGCCCCTCCTCCCTCCCCTCTTCCCCCTCCCCCTGCCCCACTGCCCCTCCTCCCTCCCCTCTTCCCCCTCCCCCTGCCCCACTGCCCCTCCTCCCTCCCCTCTTTCCCCTTCTCCCTGCCCCATTACCCCTTCTTCCCTCCCCTCCCCCCACCCAGGCTCCCTTTGGCTATGGTGCCTGGCTCTTGTCGACTCAGGAGAGGCAGCTGGCACCCTAACCACCTGTAGCCTCTGGAACATGGTGGCCTGTGGGGCCAAGGTACCCAGCCAGGACCTCCTCCGAAAGCAGTCTGCCGTGTGCTCCTACACGCTCCTATACTCCAGGGCACGGGACAGCCTCTCTGACTGTCCTGACTGTCTAGCTATCACTGGGCCACTGGGCAAGGTGTGGAAGGGACGTTTCCAGAGTAAGGTATGGGGTTGCACCGGATGCTTTGGGAGCAGAGACCCTTCAGCGCCTCCTGACTCTGCCCTTTGGGAAACGCCCTTGCAGGAACAGGCTCAATGGAATCTCTGTTTGTGGGGCCTTGCCAGGCAGGGGGGCCATGACTTGGTCTGGAAGCACCGGATGAGAGGCTGCTCATTCTCTGAGGCCCTTCAAGGAGGGGAGGAGTCAGACCTGAATGGCCACCAAACTCTTGCTGTCAGCAAGAGGCAGGAAAGCGTGGGGCTGGTACCTACATTTTCCCTGAAGATGAAGGCCAGGATGGCTGCTGAGAGCTCCGCCAGGAAGATGATCAGGATGAACAGGAAGAACTGCAGGGAGAGGAGCAGGCTTGTGAGCTCAGAGGGCAGGCAGGGGACGGGGCGGTCACTGGCCAATGCATCCATCCATCTGTCCTACCAGTGATGCAGTATACTCATTTTGTAAGATAAGACACTTCACTGCTATCAGTCAGACATCTTCATAACAAACACACCAGGGATCCCTCCTTGGAGTCAACAGGATTGTGATAAAGATTGAAAAAAATAAACAAATATATACCTTCCATGCAAATGGTACATCTTAGAGAGGCCCCTTGTACAGTGTGCAGCCTGAACAACCCCACACAGCCACCCTGGAAGGAGATCGCTGATGAAACCTGTTTGAGCCCACTCTGGGTAAGCTTCCTTCCATATGGGTTGTATGGGCTGTGAGAATCCTGAGTGCTTTGGGGATCCCCATGTGGATTTCCCCACCCTGCCACCCCAGGGCCACCTCTCCCTGCCCCGTTGCCTCTGGTTCCCAAGGGAAGTGGGGAGGTCACGTTGACCTTCAGCCAAAATTCAAGGAACAAGATTGGAGGGAAGATGGTGTGACTGCCAGATCTCATACCCAGGGCCAGGAGTTTGGTGTCTAACACGGTCTTTTGCTCCCCTCACTGACTTTGATGACCCTGAGTGAACCACAGTGCCTCTCATTCGGGGACCTCACAGGCTATGCTACCTTTGCCAGGAAGGCACTGCCCTTCCTTGCCCACCAGTTCCTCATTTCTCCAGATCGGGTGAAGCCTCAGCGCCTCTGCTGGTGAGAAGCCTTTCCTGACTTCCCTAAGCAAGGAGAACCTCCCTCTCCTGGGCTCCCCGACATCACAGTGCCCAACAGAGGTGCCTGCATGGCATTAGCATGGGGCTGTCCCTCAGTGCGCTGCCTGCCCGGATGCCTGGGTCAACACAGGTGTCGACACAGGACTCTTAGATGGATGAATGAGGCCGAGATGGCGCACTTCGCCATGAAGGTCCTATGACCTGCTGCATCACCGGCCCAGGACATTGCGTGGGTTCCTTTGGGCCAAGAGCAGTCAACAGAAGAAACCGGCTTTGCCTTCATTACTCAGCACAGCTGGTGCCCTTGACGAAGTCCATGCTCACCCTACCTGGAAACCACCAGCAGAGGACTTGAACCCTAACACACACACAGACTGGTTCTTCCATGTCCTCCCAGGCACCTAGGCAGCGGCCAGACCTGCTTTCTGGGGTCCCAGTCCTCAGGACTGCCCGCTTGCCCCCGATGTGCCAGGCTGGAAGGAGGCAAAGGGTGCTGGGCTTCAAGTCAGGACACCTCAGTCCGCCTTGTCTGTCCTGGTGTGTCATGGACAGTCACTCAAACCAACCCCTTCTAGCCTCAGTTTTCTTGCCAGCAAAATGGGAATGTCAAGACCCACTTCCGGGGGTCCTCGTGGGGAATCACAACGCATGTGAAAGCATTTCCTCTGTTGGAAATGAGCCCATGCAGAGCTTGGTGGTGGGCTCTCAGATGCAGAAGGGGAGTGAATGTGGGCCACGGGCAGCCTCCTCTGTGACCTCCGAGGCCCGGCTCCTGCGACAACCGGCCTCCTCGCAGATGGTCTGCGGGCTGCTGAAAATACCTTCACACATCTCTCGCCTGGAATGCGCCGCTTTGGTCAGAGGAAGATTCCTGTCACTTTATCCCCATGCCAGGGAGACCTCAGTCCAATTCCTGCCCCGACTTTTCAGTGCCCACAGCAGCGGCCTTCTAGAGGTCCCAGGGCTTCTCCAAACTGCGTGGGCAGGGTACCACCTGAGTGAGAGCCTTGGGAGGGGCGTAGAATCTGCCCATTCAGAACGTGCACAGAAAGCATCTCCGCAGCCTGGTAAGCGAGTTTTCATTTTGTAAATCTCTAAACCTAAGAAGAGCTGCTTGCATCAACAGAGCAGCCAGCCCGCGGCGGGGATGTGTCCGCCCTCAGCCCTGCCTTTTGCTGGCCAGCCTCTATCCCCAGCCACGTCATGTACTTCAGTGCTCGGAGTACTGTGGGCTCCTGAGCCCCTGAGGACTGCCCGGGCTTCAGCTCCTCCATCACAGCTTCTGCTGTCACGGGGGACGGCTGGGCGCTGGGTGCTGGTCCCACAGTCTGTTTTTTGTGTTGAGGAAGCTGAAGCGGGAGAAGGGAAAATGGCTATTCCACAGGTGCAGAGCTCTTCGGAGCTTTGCAGAGAGCACCTGCTCCTCCTGGCCCAGCTGGCTTTTTAGAGTGCCAGGCTACATCTCCTCCTGACGCAGGGCGAGGCTCGGGAACTGCTCTGTTACTCTCTTCTGAGCCAGGAGTCTGTCCCCACGGGTCAGCGGGCCGCCTGGCTGGGGTCTGCCGGGTGGCCTGCCTGACACATCTGGACGAGGGACACCAGGCCAGATGCTCCTGTGCTTCCTGAAGACAGGGTGACCTCGGGCTGAGGCCAGGGAGCCGAGTTCCCAAACCAGAGCAGAATGTGATGAGGGCAGTCCGAGGTGGCCTCCCGTGCCCTGGTCACAACGCCCACGGTCCACCCTGCTGCTCCTACAATTCTCATTTCCAGGAGGCTGGGGGGCTCTGGGCTCAGTGGCTGCTGAGTGATTCATTTTCTGCCTCTGCAGCCTCACCTCCTCTGTGACAGTGACGGAGGCTTCTGGCAGGGGTCCTGGCACTTCCATTTGGCTGGTGATGGATGGTCATCCGCTTCCATTACACGAGGCCTCTACGAGGAGCCCCTCCCTGCCCTCTGCCCTCTCATTGGAGCCACTGGCAGGCTCCCAGGCTGGCAAGGAGCAGCCTCAGCAATGGTCTCCATCCACGGCGATAAGCTGGAGCTGGCATGCCACCAGCGTCGGCCGGGACAGTCATAAATAATGGACGAAGCAGATCGTGAGCCTCATGCACTCCATGTGCCTGTCACGTTGGTACGTGCGTGTGCCATCCCGGA